ATATTTTCATTTCCACAACTGTGCTGCAGACCTGAGGTAGGTCTCAGCAAGTAGATCCTGGATTTAAATCTGGACAATTTATTTCAGTTCAGATGTTGTTTACTATTATCATGTATTAATAAACACTCTATAGTTTCTCTTGCAGGTACTAATGTCTTGTAGTTATTTTTACATCTCAGTCATAAACACAATTTTTTGCTTGTTGATAGTTGCCAATTTATTCATTCCCATTGCTTTCCAAACAAACCAAAGCTTCTCTTGAGATAAACTCTGCAGCTGAGGCCTTGACGCTGTGAGCAAACGTGTGCCTTTATCAGTGTTTCTCCAGCTTGCTTTCATTTCCTGTTTCGAAGATGACCACACCGCTCTCCGAGGGCTGCCGCCAGTTCTTAAAAAGCCCAGAGCCACAGGCCGAGGCATGGACATGTGCGATAGTCCGCTCTGATCATCTGCTCCAGAACGATGCTATCTCCCAGATGCTATCGGTGTACAGTGTGGACAAAGTGCAGACTAATAAGAACGCAGACGGATGAGTGATAGCAGGCCTCCCCGGGCCAAAGCAGTAGCTCCAGTGTCAGGACCAGGTATTCTCAGTAATACACAGTAGTTTATATATACAGTAGATATATATACAGAAGTAGAAAAGGGTAGAAATACTGTGGGTCTAAGAAAAATAAACATTCACCAGTAACGTGCTGTTGGAAGAATCCAGATGTTTGAGCTTAAACAATTTAAAGGATATCACATTGTTTTATATCTAAATCTGCTCCAGGTCTGTTTTGGATGAGGCACTCGGCTGTAACATGGTTAAAAGTTCAATTTTTAATGTTTCCTTGAAAGCACGTGCATTCCTCATTTATGGTTGATTTTAGTGCTTCCAACTCGCTACGGGGGCGTGTGTGAAACGTGGCTGCTTCTATACCACAGGTGCAGAGCGACAGACGTCACACAGCACAATGCAACATCACACTGCACTCCAGAGCCAATGGAGAGGCCAGGCACCAAATTCAAACGTAGTGCAACCAAAAATATAGAGAGGGAAAAATAAATCCATAATATTTGTTATTGGAAAGAGAACAGAATATATAGGATTTTACAAGTTTACAATGTACAGCAAAGAGCGTATTTGTCTCTGTACTATAAGATTATTAAGCAGCAGCCAGAGGGCGTATAGAACCTACAGGGCTGGTGCAAACAGCTTGTATCTCTCTTGGCTCTCCTTCTCTGCACTTGTCACCTTGTTCATCCACAGCTGTAACGAGTCCGATGATGGAGAGTCAATTATACCCCCCTGCTGGACACTCACACTATTTCACCTTTGATTACACCTCGTGCTAACCCGGCTCATCACTTATTGCTGGGATCTCATGCAGTGTCTGTCTGCGGACCGGGAAGCCTTTCACACATTCATGCCACCTATACCATCACTTCACAGCTGCAAGGTGGAATAAACAGATACATTCAAATACCTTTAGAGAAGACATGACATGTTTATATCTCTATGCAATAGTAGAACCAAAGTTTGTTTTTTCTTGGGGCAAAATGACCGTAGTCATATACAGTAAATAAAATCCAAGTCTGTGACCTCCTGTTACTTACGTGGCAATAAAAATGATTCTGATTCTGATTCTAAAAAGTATACCTCTTTAAGTTGGTGGTGTCCTATGACCTTTATCTGGATCCTCTACGGTTGAACCAAAACTGGACTAAAACAAAAAAGATAAAATGATCAATCGGCAATGTTTCATTTTTTCTTAACATATTCAACAAACAATAAAATAAACGGACGTATTAAGTGCCAAATTCACGAATGGCAGACTTAATTCAATGGAGACACCCACAGGACAGTATACTTTACCTTATCTCCAACAATACCAGTGTTTTCATGCATGAGCGCTGTGATGACCTCCTTTGGGAGATGCAGGGCAGCTGAGTCTGAGTCATTACCCTTATGTTTGTTACATAACAGTGAGTAGTAACAGTGAATTACTATGAATTGACTTATAGTAGCAATATGTAAGATTTTAATGTCAAGTCATCATTAGATGGACATAAATTGTCAAAAGGCATTAATAAACCATTATCTTTCCGAATACTTCTTTTTAAACTGATAACAGAGCTATAAATTTATAGCTCCTAAATCTTGTTATTGTTTTCATTTTTATGTCCCGCCCTCCACAGTTTTACCAATCAGAAAGTCTGTGATCTGGGTTGCCATAACTCACAGCATTGAGCTAATCTCACTGGTAAAGTAAAATGTGGCCGCAGAACTAAAAAAAGGTCTTGTTATGATTCTCAAATCATTAATGACAAAACAAGGAATAGAACGAGGATTTCTAACGGGGCCTTTGTGAAAACGGTGTTGGTTATAGATTTGTTGTTTACAAAACTCTTGTCTGGCAACTGTCCGGGACGCAGTCCACCAACACGTTCTTTTTACGTTGAACACAAACATGTGATTTCAATTTTTTTCTGTGCAAAAAAATATGGGCGATTTAGGTCTTAAAATTGTCCATAATTAGGCAAAGCACACATTTTAAAATAAACTGATTGATTTGTAAGGGACCTTCAGGACGGAGGCAGTCCGCTCCGCCCTGTCGGTACTTATTTTCTGATAATATAATTATCCCGCTTATTATACGGCTTTGTACCAACTGAACACACAAAATAAACTTCAGTCCACTTTTAGGAATGCCGAAAGGTTTATTTAATGACAGAAACTAAAATATTTGGCAAAGGCACGGCCTATGCGAGTAACAGTTAGGCTAACAACCTCAAAACTAGAACTCTCTCGAATCTTGCGATCGCTTTTTCTCGCATTAAAACAATATTTTTGTCGTGAAAACCATAACATCAAGTTCTGGAAACCTCCGTGCATGTGCATTTAGAATGTACAATGTATTCTCCGAGTAACATTTAATTGTGTTGATTGATTGGTATTTGCGTTTCTTGAGCGTGGCTAGCTCCGGAGTGGCCGGAACTACTTGCAGAAAAATCTACACATCTGAATTACAAGCGGAGGTTCCGTTGCCATGGACAGCGGCCATTATTGTTTTGAGAGGTCCGCTATAAAGAAATAATGACCGGTAGAACGTTTTGAAATTACATTCAAATCAATGGAGCGTTCTACTGCTGCTGTGAGGAGCCAGGTAATGATTAAAGATAAACAATAACATCTCAGGTTTTAGAGCACTTCACAAATCGCACATGTACAGTGAAGGAGCAATTAGTGATTTCTGTCTTTGTTGGTGTAAAAATCCATGTCTTCCTCTAATCTCAGGACTCATGCTGTGTTTACTAAGTGCTGTTTAGAAAGCCACTGTCAGCCTACTTGTGATGCTCAATAGATGCCCCAGATATGCTTTTCTATTTGTATCAGCACTGGGTAAAATAGGTGCGAATAATATTATGTTGAGGTAATGCTATTCAAAACTAAATTTGCAACTTGGTATTTACCTAGAAGAAAACACCAATTACCCCAATCAAATCAAAATTGAGGTTAAATTGACTTTCACACCAAATGTAAAATATTGAAATTTCCAGGTAATGATCAAAACTGAAATGTTGGTGCAAAAAAACAGTTTGATTGTTTTCTCTGTCAGAACGAGAAGCAAATTACAAGTTAATTAAAGCTGTCTACAGACTACAGGATATTTTAGGCCTGATTTTAACCCTCGGTGTGCCTCGCATGATGATTCTTCTTTCTTGTTTGGAATTGTCGTTATGTCTGTGGATTATGTCACCTCACAAAGACAAATCCTCTGTGCGAGACCGTGTTGCCATAGTGACGCATTTGAAACTGTAGCACAATGAAACAACCACACTATGTCCACAATGTGTAGGTTTATTAGCAGGAAAATCAGAAGACACAGCAGACGTTCAACCACCTTTTCATCCAAAGTTTTGTTTTTGTGTGTTGTGTGCACTTTCAATCCATGCTGGATCTGGATTAGGTGTTGCTGCTTAACCCCGTCTAGCATGAGCAAACTGCCAATTGACATCAGCTGTACGGACATTTTCCCTCAGACCTCAATGTAAACTAAAAACACTCGTCCTCCGTTTTTTCTAAGAAAGGATTTTGAGAGGATTTCAATGTCCCTTGTCATCCTGAACTTTTCTTTTCAGTTGTCTATAAAAATCCACACTTTAGTGCAACAAACTCGGCTCGTTCTTGTCCTGCTCTTGCTCTACTCTGATCAGTGGCGCTCCGATTGGTGAGAATGTTTGCGTGTCCCTCTGTGCACGAGCTTGACAGCAACTCGACCTTCAACATTCAGTGTTACTCAGGTCCTGCGGAAGTCCAACCACTGCGCACCGACTGTGCAAGACCGAGAGTACCAGAGTTTGCCAAAATGTCACTTCCACTAATATTTGGAACGTCCATGATGCGAGTATGCGCCAATGAGCTTCATGACAGCAATGTTACAATACTGTACATAATGTGAAATAATTACTCGTAGCTGTTGTAAAACTTAATTATTATACTAAATAATAATTGTTTGTCTCTTCTTGTTTTATCAACTCATACGGCTGGCTTTTATTTATCTTAACAGAAAATATGTTATGTTTTGAATACAGCCCTATGTCACTATTTGACACTTCAAGTTGAGAGCTGACCGGGAAGAGGGTTGTCTCTTGTCTGAAAACATGATCAAATGACTGTATCTAGGTATCCTAGCTTTACGTAGAACATATTTGGTGAAATATATTGAAAACGGAAAAGTAAATGACCAGGAATATTTCGGCTTACACAAAAAACATCTAAAAGGTGCAATGTCAAGACAAAGATGCCATTTCACTGGATTTCACAGGATTTTTCATAGTTTCAAATTAGACCATTTAGCTGAAAGAATGGGGAGAAATATATGTGTATGCTTGCCTTTAGTTTCTAATAGTGAATTGAGAAAGTGGATCCCATCCCTTTGGATGAGAGAAAAAAACCTTGCAAACCAAAAGCACAATGTTGTATGATATGTCAATCAAACTTTAAACTTCGGCTCATGTTTCAGATACGGTGGACGAAGACGGCGGGCAGCGTGTCGGACCGCTTCCAGGACTCGAGCGTGTTCAATGAGACACTGATCATCTCGAAGATCCTCCGAACCCAAGGGGGGCGCTACTACTGCAAGGCCGAGAACGGACTGGGCTCTCCGGCCATCAAGTCCATCCGGGTCGACGTCTACTGTGAGTCCCCCCCCTTTACGTTTTATCCCAACCCAGTTCTGCCACTCTTCCTTAACTATGCAAAGTTTCTCAAATCTGCAGCCGGCTGAGTTATATTTATCAGTTTTGAAGTATATGATATCAGTTTGGTGATTAGTTCAGAGTTTAGGAGAATTGTTAAGCTCTTCTTAAGGGTAATTTTAAGGTATAATTCATTGTCCCTGTAGAGATTTCTGTCCAGCTTTCCATCCATGTCAAGAGCAGTGGTGGTCTGTGACTGGTAGCCTGGTTAACAGACTAAATATCATACATGTGAACATTTTAACCCGAGTTACCTGGCTAAAAGCAGTTATGTGAGCGCAGACAGCAGCATGGGGATTCTCTAACCTTAGAGAAGACCAAACTGATAAAATAACTCCTATTACCCTGCGGGACACTTATGCATAATTCCAATAATTTCAGCTTATACCAAAATGAGTACAAAGAACATATAGCCATTTATGAAAGTTCCATAGGCAAAATATGTGTGTGACTTCTGCGTACAGGGAGAGGGAAGCTTGATATGGGATTTATCAATTTCTTGAATATTTGGTACACTCAGATTACTGTCATTCTGTGATGTTGTTTGAGCGTTGTGTTGTAGAATGCTGCAGTCTCAGTTTGATGCCATGTTCAGGAATGATCCCTGTGGTAATACAAAGTTTCAAAAGGTTTTCTCTTTCTGAGCGCTGATGTTTTTGACAGTCATCCAGAATCTGATCGCCTGGGAGACTATGATTCTTTCCTTTCTGCACCGGATATGGACTATTAATGTAGAGTTTAAGTGCATGTGTCAGATATTTTTAGTGCGAAAAGTGAAATATATTGAATCTGTCTATCTGAAAGTGTTTCTTGTCATTTGATCATCATCAGTTTAGCACAAAATTCTGGAAGTAATAGATCATTTTTTAAGGAGCTAAGTAGGCGTAGCTAACCTTTCAGCTTCTCTATCGGCCTGCGGTGGGAAAAATATTTCAGTTTGCATAGAAATGTCATTTGTTGGAGTGGTTCTTCTCATTGCTGCTGTTCACCGTTGGTCTCACGGACAGCAAACTGTTTTGTTGTTATCCACGCTAATATCAGACTCTTCTGGTTCAAACGTGTACTTCTGCTCCTTCTATTTAAAAGCTTCTGTCTTTGGAAGTTTCAAAACGCTGCTCAAATGACAAATTCAACGGACACATTTGGGCTTGGTCAAAGGTTCCCAGATTCCAGAGTTGGACGCACTGAGAGGGGATGTGGGTTTTTTATCACTCTAATGGTTTTACTTTGGTTTAACTCAAATATATTTAAACAAACAACATCTATTCAACACTATGCGTACATTCGTGAGCATAAAAGCTTTGAAGTAATATCTAAGATTGTAATTATATACAAGCACTTTTTTATGATGATAGAATTTATGGAGAACAGATTGTATTTCTCATAAACACTAAAGGCTTTTTGCCATTTAATAAATGAGCAAAGTCAATCCAGCTACATCTTTGTATATTTGTGTTGTTGTCTGCTGTGTGTGAGTGTGTGTCTCTCTGTCTGTATGTGTGTGTGTATGTGTGTGTGTCTCGCTGTCTGTGTGTGCAAGTGTGCGTGATTTGTCAACACCCATCACCAGCTCCTCAATAATGCTCCGATTTCGGAAAGTCAGAATAGTACACTCACTAAAGTATGATCTTCAGTTTCCTGCCATTTAAAATGTGTTCTTGAAATACTTCCTCAGGTGAAATTAAGTTTTCAAAAATCCCTCTGGTGGTAGCAGAGGGAGTTGCACGGTGGCGCAGTGGTTAGCTTCCCGTGAGTTCTTTGTGTGTCTGTGTAGGTATTCTCCGGGTGCTCCGGTTTCCCCTACCACTAAAAACATGTTCTGTACAATAGGTCTGGCATGAGCCTCCCGTACGACGACTCCGCTCCCATCTCTATTTGGAGTCAGAGACAAATGCCCACAACAATTTCTTTGTGACTCTGGTCTGTGAAAGGCTTTATATAGATTAATAAAAATGAAATATGACACTTATACTCTTGTTTTTTCACCATACATTTTCAAACAGGAAATGACAAAGTAAATAGTATAATAATAATTTTCAACACCCTAAAATAATTTATAATATATCTTCTTTAAAGTTCTAAACCATGTCTAGAATAATGACGGGATGCTGCTCTCGTCGGGACGGAGCTTGTTCTGTTTCCACGGTGCAGGAGAAACTCCGGAGCCTCCATCACCGCGGGGCCCCAGACGTGATAAAGCAGTTTGAGTCGATCGGAGCTGCACTTTCCATGGGGCGTGGGTGTTCTGTAATCAGCAGCCACATTCTGCTTATCCAGACCCGTACTCCTCCACCAAGTCCCTGAGGACATCATCACGCTTTTGAATCCAAGCCACGCAGCCCCCTTCATTTTTCAAACGCTTGGCTAATGCGTGGATATTTTCACACAGAGGAAGAAATGGGAAGAAAAAAAGGCCACACTATCCCTCTTGTAGTTTTGTAGTAATTACTGTAATGTAACACAAAGGGACAGAACAAGGGACATGAATACATTATAAGCAATCAATTTCATGTCCATCGGCACGTGAGTAACTTGCAAGCCTGGTCAATAAGCATACAGTAGTCTTTGTCACGCTTAAAACAGAAATAAACCCAACGTGTAAAACTGTTAGAGTACGTATTTGATGATAATCCTTGTTTATATATTCAGTAGTTTAAATCGTACCATTCAAGCACAACTTTTACGTGGGTCTCAGTTGGGGTTCATATACAGTACCTTTTTACCTAGGAATTTATCCTATGAGGATTAATAAAGTATCTATCTATCTATATACGTGAATAGAGTCGTTTTTGGAGAGGGACACCTGGTATGTGAAAGAGCCTAATGTGATTCTTTACTACGCTAATTGAACATAGAATCAACAATCTTGCTTTACAATAGCTACTAGCTTTACTAAAGGCTGTAGCTCTTCCCATCCTCCACCATCTTGGTCAAAAGTAAATGTCATCCCGTCCCTCTGTCTCTGCGTGTAACTGTTTATTTGGCCAGGCGTTGGGCTGGCACACGCACACTCGCTGCCCATTGGACGGTTTTTCTTCTCTCCGTTGGCAGCAGCAGTAGTGAAGAGATGCTGGAAGAGGAGAGGGGGGATCGAGCCAGGCGCTGAGACTGAGGCCGACCTGAGCTAATAGATAATTGAGCAACATTTGGTGGCACTTTGGAGGTCACTCTCTCCTCTAATGGGCTTTTCACAAATAACAAACAGAGCAAGCGTTTTTCAACCAGGAGAGACTTTCAAATGTTGATAGATTGATAGATAGAAAGGTAGAAAACTGGAGGTTTGCTTGTAATCTCACTCCTAGCCGGTGGGGGTGGACCCAGAAAGAGAATTACTTGATGCTTTTGTAAACCACCTTCTTTCCTCTCAAAAATGGCTTTACAGGATGATCCAGATGCCATAGTTACATACGTTCTTGATGCTTGTCAATTCTGAGGGTAGTATAGCCACTGTGGATGGGAGGAGAGTCTAGCCACTGTGAACTGAATGGGGCTGCATACACAAATGCGTTTTTGCCCCTTCTTGTTAGACATTTCATTGGTAAAATCTTCCAGCGAAGGTTGTAACTAAGAACATGAACATCTGGGTAAATCTGCATTGTACGTTTCCCCAGTGGCATTACATTGTTGAGTCAAAAACTGAGGCAGAATATAGGTCAAATCCTCCAGCTCCGGTATTCCTGACCAAACCGAGCATCAATATCTGGAGATGGGTTCCCGGGCGCTGTTCTACAGCAATCACTGCTCCTGACGAAGTCCTCGCGGCATCAGTTTGGGTCAAATGCAGAGGATTGAATTGCCCTACTGGGATTAATAAAGTGCACCTTTACCTTTACCTTTATTTAAGGGGACATACCTTACCTCATAGTGTTGTCCGTGTGTGTGTCTGTATGTGTGGCATGTTCCAAAGGGAAGCTTCACCCACTGAGATACACTTTCTGTCCCGGCCCCTACAGCGGCTCTACTCCAAGCTCCTCTCATGTGACAGAGCTCCTCATCCTATCTCTAAGGAAGTATCTGGCTACTCATTACAGAGGCTTGTATCCGTGTTAGGTCACTCCCCAAAGCTCATGATCGTAGGGTGGGAACATGGACTGAAAGGTAGCTTTAGAGCTTTGACTGCAGACACTGCTCCCTCTTCATCCCAACAATGACCGTATCACTGCGGACGCTCCATCCTCCCCTCACTGTGAGAAAGACCCTGAGATAACAATGAAAATCAGCTTTAATATACATAATATTGGATGTATTGACATAATGAGTGCACGGAAGCAACTATAAGTTTGTCATAAATGGCTTGTAATTGTTCCCTTTTCATGGTTCATGAAGTTCACCAATCTTCCTTGAGCCCCCGCCGAGTTGTTTGGTCTCAAATCACTTTCCTCCTGAGCCATGTACCTCCTTTAATTGCTTATCATTGGAAACATGTTTTTTTTTAATCGTTCACAGCTATGATTTTTTAATTAGACTGGAGCATGTTGTGGTTGTGGGGGGGTGGACCGGACCTCCCACTCCACTCTGAGTTTCGCTCTGTCCGTTGTCAAACACAGCCTTCGTGCATTTGTTCTCTGTTCTAATCTGGAGATCTGGCGGCACAGCAGGTCTCCTTTAAGTCCTGTGATCCGTCTCCAGTCCCCACCTGCCGTTTCTTTCACTTCTGCGTCCTGGAATGAAAAGAAGTGTTTGCCATTTACCATCTAACTACAGAGCTAGATGGTACTGTTTGCATTAAATATAGTATTGGTTAGTAAAAATTAGAGATCGACCAATATGGGTTTTCTGAGGGGGATGTCGAGTCTTCCGAAGTTTGACTGTTCGATGACCGATTTGAATAGCCCATTTTTGTCTTTCTTTTAAGACTGCAAATACAGTAAGCATAGGGTAGGGTCTAATGCAAATATGACATTTCAAGGCTATTTTATAATGTCTTTTTGTATAATGATGTGAATAGGGTTTATTTTAAAAAAGAGGAGTGGAAACCCTTCACATTTGTGATTATTATTAATTTTTGCTTTTACCAAAGAATGCTCAAGTGATGCCCCTTGGAGAACATCTTTGAAATTGGGTTCATTGAAGAAAAAACACATGTTCATTATATCAGGATATCATTTCATCTGATAAATCATGAACAGACAGGGGTTAGTAAATAGACTCATTATAATGTTTTTTTTATTTACTATTTTTTTTTGTTATTATTTCTCTCCTTTAAACCCAAGCAGGTAGCTATGTAAAAAAGTCACATATTCCAAAGAGAAGTGTGATGTGGGCCCCTCCCCTCTGCCGCTTCACTTGTTTTCCTCTGTGTGCGAGGGGAAGGTCCTCTGCAAAGTTAATAAAGAACCAAGCTCCAGAAATCAATGAGCTTAAGACACACACTTTCTCTCCCACTACAACCTCTCTATTCACGCTTTTCATTTCTTCTCAATTCATTTTGCCGCAGCGTCTTGTGTTTCTGTGAGTGACTGGTGGAAAGTGGCTTAAAAAGAGAGAGAGAAGAGAGAGAAGCATTATTGTTTTACAGATTACATACATTTACATTTTATGCAAATTTCTTATTTTTTTCTGACTACCCAACTCTCAAACCACAAAAAATGAACTATGTAATACGATATATTTATTCACATTAATGTCATCGTTAACTCGCAATTATTTGCAATTAATCAAATGTCTCTTGATTTGTCCTTGTTTTGTTTGGATAAACAAGGTAATATTAATTATAGGCTATTATATCTCTGCATTGGAGACGTGAGGCACCTACACGTGGCCTCACTTCTGTTAGTTTGCCTCAGGGCAGCTGTTGCAACAGTGGTAGTTTATCACCATTGTCTTCAAAATTAATAAAGAATGCCATGTGGAGTTCGTAAATCTGCCCGTGAGCAAAACTCATTGAACTTCCTAAGACGTGCTTCAGCTTTTTTATTTCATGAAAGTCCTTTCAAAGGAATGATAGATCCATGGTCAAGCGTTTTCAATGCAACAAAATATACTTAGACAAAAGTCAAAGTTGCAATATCACATGAAAGCCTCAGTAATTGAACACCAGTAATGCAACATATCTATGATAGGAACCTGAAGAAGAGCGTACAGAGGCAGGCGGCAGGTGATGATGTGGAAAGACATTTCTCTGAAAAGCTGGAGGCAAAGGTAGCGCCATTGATCAGAGGCATAACTAAGAGTGCAGAATATTGACCATTACAAGTTCAATTCATCAACAAAGGCCAATGCCCCCAGGTGAATGAAAAGATTGAAAATATTTTCTTTGCTCTAACAGGAACATTGATTGATTAAAAAAAGAAAAAAATAATAATTTTACGCACTGTATAGATGCAGTAATGTTAAATAACCCATAAAGTGTGGGTCATCAGTAAAGCGCCTTATATACAGTATATATATGGCACGCCCTCTGCCAAAACAATTTCCAAGTGGTAACTTTAGTTTGTTACTTACGTGGCAATAAAAATGATTCCGATTCTGATATACTGTATATTTATGTATATATATGCTTGAACTGTTTGGACTGCAGTTCCGGTGTGTTTAAATGGAGATCTCCAGTCAGGGATAATGGATGGAGATTGGTCTGCTGCTGTTAATGTGCTTTCAGAAGATAAACAACCAGGAGTCCGCTCAATTATTAGAGCTGTTTTCAAATGAATGAGGAAACAGCTGATGAAACTAAGGAATGGAATGGCCAATGCTCAAGAACACTGGGTCAAAGGCGGTCGGAAAAGAATATTCAAGACATTTTCTAAATAGTGCCGTTTACATTAAATTACTCATTCATTTTCTACCACTTTATTAGTCAATTTCTATGGAGCTATTATTGTTTCAATAATATTTGTGTGTGCGTAACCAGATTTGTGCGTGCGTAACCAGATTTGTGTGTGTGTAAAAGAAATATTTGTGCGTGTGTAAATAGATTTGTATGTACGTATCAAGATTTGTGTGTGCGTAAAAAGATTTGTGTGTGCGTAGAAAGATTTGTGTGTGTGTAAAGAAAAAAAAAGTACGTTTTACACACAAGTTTTTTTTTTACACACGAATCTTTTGACGCAGTCCTGCCTTCGCAGATTCGCAAGTGTAACTTGGACTGTGTGCGAGCGTAAACAGATTTGTGTGTGTGTAATTTGACATTTGTATCTGTAGCAGAACAATCTGTGTGTAAATAACCGCGTTGTACAAAGAGAAGAACGAAAAAAGCCTCAGTGCTACGCACAGGCTCTGTTTTACACACGAATCTCTTTTTGACACACCTCTGCCGCCAAGCGTGTGTCAAAAAGATTTGTAAGTGTAATGTGGTTGTTCTAGCAGTACACCAGCAGATGGTGCTGTTGTAGCTGGTTATTACCTACACACAAGCAAACCAGCTGAGTTTGTGGCACTATAGTGTAGATAGAGAAAACCGAAGGATTTAAGAAGAAGAAAAGTTCAGGATGACAAGGAACACTAAAATTCCCACAAAATCCGACCTTTATGAAAGCTGTAGGTTATCTGTCAGCTGTTTTAGTTTACTTTGAGTTCTATGGGGAAAATTTCTGTGTAGCCAACGTGAATTTAGTCTGCAGTACGTGAGAATCCTTCAGCTCCAAGCTAGTAACACCCTATCCAGTTATTATAATAGATCCATGTATCATTCAGTGGTGTGAATGACAGGATTTTGAAAATAGGAAAAAAATATCATAAACAGCTGCGGTAGTGTGTCTTGTCAAGGCAGTAGGTTTTGGTTTGCTTGCGTGTAGGTAATAACCAGCTACAACAGCACCATCTGCTGGTGTACTGCTAGAACAACCACATTACACTTACAAATCTTTTTGACACACGCTTGGCGGCAGAGGTGTGTCAAAAAGAGATTCGTGTGTAAAACAGAGCCTGTGCGTAGCACTGAGGCTTTTTTCGTTCTTCTCTTTGTACAACGCGGTTATTTACACACAGATTGTTCTGCTACAGATACAAATGTCAAATTACACACACACAAATCTGTTTACGCACGCACACAGTCCAAGTTACACTTGCGAATCTGCGAAGGCAGGACTGCGTCAAAAGATTCGTGTGTAAAAAAAATACTTGTGTGTAAAACGTACTTTTTTTTTCTTTACACACACACAAATCTTTCTACGCACACACAAATCTTTTT